GAAGGTAAACATGATGGGCCTGAGGGCAACCTGGCCTACAGGAAATCTCTCTCAGAGACAACAGCAAACTTGTACAATCACTTTGGAAATCAGTGTGGCGGTTTCTCAGGAAATTGGGAGTCAACCTACCTCAAGACCCAGCAATACCACTCTTGGGCATATACTCAAAGGCTGCTCAATAATACTACAAGGACAATTGTTCAACTATTTCATAGCAGCATTATCTGTAATAGCGAGAACCTGGAAACAACCTAGATGCCCCTCAACTGAAAAAAAAATGGATAAAGAAAATGTGGTACATTTACACAATGGAGTACTACTCAGCAGTTAAAAACAATGACATCTTGAAATCTGCATGCAAGTTGATGGAACTAGAAAAAAAATCATCCTGAGTGAGGAAACCCAGACCCAGAAAGATGAGCGTGCTATGTGCTCACTCATAAGTGGATACTAGCTGTAAAGCAAAGGGTAAGGAGCCTATAGTCCATGACCCTAGAGAAGCTAAGGAACAACGTGAACCCTAAGAGAAACATACATAGATCCCCCTGGGAAGGGGAAATAGACAAGATCTCCTGAGGAAATTGGGAGCATGGGGGTGGGTAGAGAAGGGAGGGCAGAAGGGGAGGAGAAGGGAAGAGGGGGAGGGGGAGGAGAGCTTGAGGAAAGGAAATAGTGGGGATAGAGGAAGGACAGATATTGAGAGCAAGAAAAAAAAGATATCTTGATTGAGGAAGTCATTGTGGGGCCAGCAAGAAACCTGACACTACAGAAATCCATAAGGATGACCCCAGCCAAGACCCCAAGCAATAGTGGAGAGGGGACCTGATCTGGCCTTGCCCTGTAGTCAGATTGATGACTATCTTAAATGCCACCATAGAACCTTCATCCAGTAACTGATGGAAGTAGAGGCAGAGATCTGCAGCAGACCGCTAGGATGGGCCCACAAAGTCTACTCAAAGTGAGGAAGGAGTGAGAATATGAGCAAAGAGATCAGCACCATGATGGGGACACCCACTGAAACAGCTTACCTGAGCTAATGGGATCCCACCAGCTCCAGCCTGACAATGAGGGAACCAGCACAGGACCAAACTAGTCCTTCTAAATGTGGATGACAGTTGTATGAGTAGGGGAGACAGTGGGGCCACTGGCAGTGAGACCAGAATTTATCCCTTCTGCTTGTACTGGCTTTTTGAAACCCATTCTCTCTGGAGGGAAACCTTGCTCAGTCTAGATATAGTGGGAAGGGACTTGGTCCTGCATCAAAGCAATGCACTAGACTTTGCTGACTCCCCATGGGAAGTCTTACCCTCTCTGAGGAGTGGATGGAGGTGGGAGGGGGAAGGTGGAGGGAATGGGAAGAGGGGAGGGAGTGGGAACTGGGATTGGTATGTAAAATAAGAAAAGATAGTTTTTTTAAATTAAATAAATAGAGAGAGAGAGAGAGAGAGAGAGAGAGAGAGAGAGAGAAAGAAATAACAACAAAGAAACAACATCTACAGCCAAGTGTTTGGAGACCTGATGGCCAAGTCATTGTGGTTTTTAATCTCAGGTAACAAGAAGTACATAAATGGGGTGGCTCCAAGGCTGCTGGCCAGCCCTGATATTTCCCTAGAAGCATGCTGGCCCTGCTAGGTTACATTACACTGGCCTCATTCCAGCAGTTTCCATAATATATGCAAAATCCAGTGGTGCGCAGAAACAGAAAACACCATGCGTACAGAAAAACCCAACCCGAAGTCTTCAGCGGATCTTCTTGGTCCCTTACTAAGACGAATTTCTCCCTTACCTCTTGCTGGCCAGAGTAGAATCACATACCCAGTGAAAAGTTTTGGAAAAGGAGACCTTGACTGCCATGACCGCATTCCACTGGCCAGGTCAGCGTTGAACAGACCACCAGCACGGTAAGAGAATGGACTTCAGGTACTAAAGTGTTTGCTCTGAGCAGAAGAGAAAAACAATCTAGTTACTCTTGTCTCTTCCTGAACAGTCTTTAGGCAGACTAGCCATCCATCCATCCATCCATCCATCCATCCATCCATCCATCCAACAGGCATTTGTTGATTACCCAGCATGTGCCTGGCGGTGCACTAAACATTAGGGACTTTGAAGTGAGAAAAAGGAACATAGTCCTCTGCCTCTGAAAGTAACCCTAGAAAAGCAGAGAGTGGTTGAATAAGCAACCTCAGAAATATACAGAGAAGTGTAATAATTGACATAGTATTGAGAAAGCAAAGGAAATTGTGTGACTTGGGGTTCTTACAAGAAGCTCTTATTTAAATGTGGAGGGAAGTCCAAAAAGAAAAATCTTCACAGAAAAAAAGAATCATTTAAACAATGTATGGTAAGCAAATAAAATCGCACATGCTGTAATTCCAGTGCTCTAAAGGCAGAAGTAGGTCGATCAAGAGTCCAAGGCTGGCCTTGGTTATATATTGTGTTTGAAATCATCTTTGAGTTACATGATAGCCTTTCTAAAAAAATGAGAAAGGAGAGAGAGAGAGAGAGAGAGAGAGAGAGAGAGAGAGAGAGAGAGAGAGACTAAATGAGCAACGAAAAATGAAAGGAAGGGAGTGAGGAAGGAAAAAAAGAAACTAAGAAAGACTTGAGACAGAGGGACGTATGAAGAATGCTGCAGCAGGGGCAAAGTGCCCCAGAATGAGACCAAACAGGAGAATAAACACAGAACAAACCAATCCCATGGGCTCTTCAGTCAAGAAAAAATCGCTCCAAAGACAGGAAGGAACACCCCAGCAGATTGTTCATTGTCACACATGGGGCAGACACCTTTGCCTGGGACAACAGTTTGCAAAGCTGACTTCAGGTGTTCTCGGTCACAGCATAAAAGGCTGTCTTTGTTTCTAGTGTTTAGGTGCTGTTTTCCTGATCTTAAATGTCATTACATGTTCCTGGCAGATAGGTAAAGTATTGTTCACATTACTTGTCACTGATTAGAAGCCATGAATTTAGGTGGTTTGAAGGACACTCAGCTTATCTCAAGAGGAAAGGGAATACTTCAAGACTATTTGATGGTATTACTAAGCTCTTGCAGGTCCATTACTGGGGAAAGTTCATATATACATATACACGTGTGTGTGTGTGTGTGTGTGTGTGTGTGTGTGTGTGTGTGTGTGTGTGATTTTATGTTCAACTCAGCAAACACTCCTGTGACTCATTCTGGAATATGAGACACTGAGGCAGGCTATTCTCAAGGGCATTTCCACCAGAGCAAGTCAGCGGATCACTGCCATGTGCACACAGGTCAAGGGGTAAGCAGAGAAGCATCTAGAAGGGGAATATCTGTGCCCCCTCCAACAGCTGCAGTACTTCCTCTTTAAAGATCAACTTCCCAGAAGCTTCTCTTATCACAAAACAGTCTGAAGTCCTCAGCAAATGCTACATAAACCTCATTGCCACGCTCAATATCCTCGTGTAGAATTGAAGGCAAGGCCAATGACCAAGTTAAACGAAGTGGCACAGAGGGGACATGTAGCAGTCTATCTCGAGAAAAAAAAAATGTGCCTAATTGCAAAAAAAAAATAGTTTTGGTGTCTATAGACTCTAATGACAACCATCAGAATGGGAGTTTGGTGCTTCTTGGCGTTTCTGAGAAATATCCAGAGATAGGAACCTATGGTACCTCCTGTCTTTAAACTCGCTGAGACTGCAATGAACTGAGGGCTAAGAGACGAGTAAAGAAAAGAACGGAGATTGCAGATACATCCAAATGTGTTCCTCCTAATCTTCACAACAACCCTTGCCAGGTGGTTTTATTACCTCAGGAAAATGAGGCTCTGGACATGCCTCACCCAAGAATGCAGCCTGAGTGGAATGAGTCGGGCTGAAGTCCATGTTTGTGAATCTCAGAGGCCTAAGTTCATTCTGTCATGTCCCACTGCATCCCTTAGTGAAGTGTGTGTGTGTGTGTGTGTGTGTGTGTGTGTGTGTTTGCTTGCAATACCCTCCCACTCTCCCTGCCCCCTGCCCTTGGGGAAAAAAAAAGGAAGGCTATGAAAGCTTTCTAAGTCCTCAGGCAGTGGCGGTGCACGCTTTTAATCTCAGCACTCAGGACAGAGGCAGGCAGAGCTCTGAATTCGGGGCCAGCCTGGGCTACAGTGTTCCAGGACAGCCAAGGCTATATAAAGAAACCCTGTACCAAAAAAAAAAAACCCAAAAAACCAACAAACAAATAAATAAATAAAATAAAAACCCTAAATCTTTAGTGCAAAGAATAACCATCTAGTACGTGGCTTTATCATCACAGTAGGAGTGCACCGGTCAACTGTTTCCATCCCCCACCAGAGGTCATGTGGTATCCCCAGAGGTCGTGTGATATCCCCCAGCCATTTTTTTCCTACTTTTTCCCTAAAGGAAGCATCATCCTGACTGCCCATGCTATAGGTTAGTATAGGTTACAATTTTATGTAAATTGAAGCATATCTATTCTGGGTCTGGTAACTCTTGCTAAAAAATCATATTTGCACAGTATGGGTGTTATATTGCATGCAACAGGGGCTTTTTTTGCTTTTATTGCTGCATAAGATACAATTGTATACTTTTGTCGCGATTTGCCCTTTTTTTTGTTAATGAATAGTTGAGGTTGTTTCCACATTATGGCTGCTTCAAACACAGTTCCCATTAATCTTCTTGTCCTTGTCTTCTTGGTGCACATATATTCTTAATCGTCTGCTTATAAAGGAAGAAAACACCGTTTGGCCCAGTCAAGACAGAATAACGTCAATAAATTGCACAAGGTTTTCACAAGCAGCTCCTTCTTTTGTGAGAGATATATAAGCTGTGGGTCTCATAAAAGAAGGACTTTGGGGACAGCCAGGTCCTTTCATGTTCTCTCATGCAAGGGTCCGAGGGATAGGAAACAGAAATAAACTCTAGAATTAAGTGCAAGTTGCTTGCTCCCAGAATAAAGGCAACTCAAAGACCCTCTGCCCAGAGTAGTCAGTTTAATGCCAAGGCTGGCTGTCCAGTTCCTTCTGAACTAAAGAGCTGAGGAATGTGGAGTCACCCGGGGTCAAGACGTGGAGAGACTGAAGAGGACTGTGGACCCCAGACTTTTTTTTTTTTAAATCTTCATTTCCTTTTGTCCTTTATTCCTGAAATCAAGGTAAGAAAGACCATGTGGACACAGAAAGTTCAAGCTCTCTTACAGATACCTATACTATCCTGGAAGGAGAGAGGCTGCACTACTGAAACCCTACGGGGTGCTTATCACAGGAACCTGGTTAAGTCTGGGCCTATCTAGAAGTCACTGGAGGTGAGGAGAGAAAGAAAGGCTGGGCTGCAGCTGAGGTGGCCTCAGAAGAGCAGTGGAAATAGTTACAATGTTGACAATAGGCATCCTTTACATTTGTCTCAGAACAGTTTTCAAAAGGTTTCCTAATCCTAGACAGTCACGATCTGATCTTCACACCGCCATGAGGCTCCCAGTATCCTCATTTTGTTGATCTGTGGACGAGCAATGTCGAATGGTCGAATGGAAGGTAGGGTCCTTACCTTAATCCACCTCTCCAGTCTCTTCTCTAGGAAGAGATGACAAAGGAAGAGAACCGGAGGTAGCCAGCTTCTAAAAGATTTGCAAAGACAGACATTTAGCTGGAAGGAAGTAAGGTCTGAGACTTCTTCACCTTCTCTGGTTAGTTTGGAGACAACTGGGAGGTGCATCTCCCAGTCCTTGCACTGGAGGTAGGGGTCTCTTCAGACACCTCTCATTGTGTTTTTGAAAGTGGAGTTTCACAGAGGGTTGCAGGGTGGTGGCACCGCCCCTCCCGGACTCGCTGTCTAGCGCCCTCTGTCACCCCAGACCTTGACGCGCAGTGGGGTAGGGTGGGGACCAGGGAAGCGCGGCCAGGCCAGGTGCACCAGGCGCTGGGCAGGAGCCCGGAAGGTGCGCTGCCCCGCCCCAGTGCCCCCCCTCCCCGCGCCTCCCGCGTGAAAGTGAAAGTTCCAGGGGGCCCCAGCGCAGGTCAAGGATTGGGGGGCGGGGCCGGTGCGGACGTGGGAGCCGGCGCCGGGCACTGGAGGGGCCATGGATGGGCTCGGCCGCCGCCTCCGAGCCAGCCTGAGACTGAAGCGCGGCCGCGGGGGTTAGTGCGGGTCACAGCGCGTGGGGAAGAGGGCGTGGGGACCTGGGCGGCAGGACTGTATACTCAGTGCGGCACCGGGGGACAAGATCGAGGAGCAGTTTGGGCGGGATCTGGGAGGGCTGGGCAGGAGGCAGGTGAACTCAAGAGAGCAGGTAGAGATCAGCGAGTGGACAGACCTGTTGGGTTGAGGGGGAACGAGTGACTAGGAACCTGCAAGGGTTGTGGGGCTCTGGGTTGCGGGCCACGTGTCTTTCCATCCAGGAAGCTTGTAGAGCAGCCACTTTATGGCTAGAGTTTGGGCTGCCAAGCCCTCCGGGAGACGCTTAGCTTCCCTTCATAGCTAGCTGCCTGGGACTGGATTGGCGTTTGTTCAGTTCCTGGGAGCCAGCTTGTCCTTGCTGATAACCGCGCCACAAAAACTGGCTCCCCAAGACCTTAGGACTGGCCAAGGCGCAGGGGTCTGGGGGAGGTGGAGGGAGGTAGAGAATAGGTACTATCAGCTCCGCTGTTTTCTCAACCCTGACCTTGAGTTCTGACCGGTGAGGTGGGAAGCGTTTCTCTGTTCAGGGTGTATGGAAGGGATGAAATGACAAGATCTTGTCACGTTTCCTTTCTACGTATCTGTGCCCTGGGGTTTGGAAGAAGGGCAATTAGGATTCATTAATGTGTCCATTCATTCAACAAATATCTGTTGTTTATGGCTGGCCAGTGCTATCCTTGAGCTGCCACCCCTGGGTTGGTTCAGAGCCTGTGGTTCTGAAAAGAGGCCTGAAAGATATGTAGGGGTCATCCCAAAAATTCACCCCTTCCAGTATTTGCAAGTGGTCAGTGGACCCCTCTCGTAATAGGCCCCGGTACTTGCGGTCAGTACTTCCTTCTCGGATCTGCAGTGACTTGTGACTGATCTGCTCTTTGTCCTTTCTCACTTCTGCCACCCTCACATCTGCTCCAGCTGTGGTTGTTTTGGCGCATGCCTCTCTCTGCATGCAGGAGAGGGGTCTGCAATTGCTGGAGCAGTGTGTGGGGAAGAGATGTGACTTTTTTTTTTTTAATTTTCCTGCAGAGTTCTGGCTTGGTTTTCTTGGGCTTCCTAGACCCGGGTAATCTTCTGCCACCCGACCCTTTCAGCAGCATAAAGGTAGCAGTGGGGGGGGGGGGGCGCTTGTGGTTGAAGAACAGGAAGACAGGCCCATCTATATGTGCCTGTTCACAAGTTTAACACCTGTCAGATCGTATGGGTGTGACTTTTTCAACTTTCTTGCTATCCTTCTACTTCCTGGGGGATTTCCCCTTCTGGCTCAAGCAGTTGTTTCTCAGAGGGCTGTCTGTGGGTGGGTGCGTGCGTGCGTGAGTGCGTGCGTGCGTGCGTGCGTGCGTGCGTGCGTAAAACACTAATAGAAAAGACTGCTGTGGTGGTTCTGGGTTGCTAGCAGCTAGCAGCTCACCAAAGAACAAACAACAGCCTTTCAGATCAAGGTTCCCCAAAGTCCCCTTTCCTTCAGGTGGTTGTGGGAGGGGCTTTCTGGTGGAGGAACTAGTGTAACCAGACTCTTGACTTCCTTAGAGGGCGGCTCCTTTCTCAATTAAAAATGAGGATAAGAATTCATTCCCGGGCATGAGGGATTAAGTGAGATGCGTGCGTTATATTATGCAGGAGTTTGATGCAAATTAGTTCTTCTCATGCTTTTCTGTGACAAAGGCTTTTGAAAGAGGGAGAAGGAGAGAACACTCTTTTATCGGCTCTCTTGAGCCTCAGCCCAAAAAGTCTAGTTACTTTTTTTTTTTGGTCTAGGATTTCTGCCTTTGCTGTTGCCTCCTTTCTCCTGATAAAGCAGGAGGAAATAGCATGAAAATGCTGCCCCAAGGACTTAGGAAAAGACCTATTTCCTGAGGTTCTGGGATGATCGGGAAGATGATTCTGGCTGTCCAAGCCATTTGATTACTGCTCCCCTTCCAACACACACACACACACACACACACACACACACACACACACACACCATGTGAGGTTGACTGTGGAATACACCAGAAGGCCTGAGCTTGGATTTGGAACCCTTGTAATTCTCATCTTCTACAGATCCTGTTCATTTTAAATTACCCAAGTTACTTAATTCCTCAGTTTTCCCTTCTGGTTCAGGCGGGTGCTTGTTCCTTCAGACACCCTGTAAAGATTGTGTAACATGTCTATACAGAGTACAGGAAAGACACGTGACTGCCTGGGGTGTCCTGGTTCATCCCTCACACTGCTCCAGCTCTCATCCTATTTACGATGATTGGGGCTTCTCCAACAAGTCAACTTTGGACCTCCGAGTCCCCACTTTTCCTGGTGCCATGAAAGCCCAGTTCTAGAGCTCTTGGGAGCAGAGGGACAGCCGTCCTACCATAGCAACCCACTCCCTCCCAGAGGATTGCTAATTCTTTGCAGCAGTGGCAGACACAGGCACCAGATCACTTTGCTTCCTCCCTCCCCATTAAGCAACTTCCTGGCAGGGGCTCTTTCCTCTTATCCCATGCATTTCCTTATTCAGGACTTTCTGTGAGAAACCTGGGTTATCAATAGCTCCTTTCCCCATTCCTCAGCCTTTACACACAACACTGGATCTGCAGTTTAGGATGTTGACCTGGCCCAGCCAGGAGAAAGACTGAGCAGGAGTCCAGGAGGGGTGAGGATGCGGTATATCCGCATTGTTGCTGATGCAACCAGTCCCCTTCTCTAGGCTAGGGACAATGTCCTGAGCCAGTGTTTCCTTGAGAAAGAAGGAATCTGCTGGAGTCTTAGAATAGTCCCAATGAAAAAGTTCCCTGCCTTAAACTAGAACATGTTAAAGGGAATTAGGGGCTTACCTTTGTAGTTATTCCGTCGATATCAGGAACTTCTCAGAGGTGGGCTTTGTTCTTTACTTCGCCGTCAGAAGCGAACCCATGGGGTCTGTTGAGAGACTCACTCTCTTGCTAGAAATTACTTAGAGAACTGGACAAGACTACTTATCTGATTCAGGGTAAGGCAGTGGCATCTTGGTTGCAGGAAGTGTTCAGTCCTGTGTTCTTGGTTGAAATCCTGAAGGCCTGTTTCAGAATTCGTCAGTTGGCCTGGTTTCTGATGAGCAACTTGAGAAAACAATTTGAGAGAATAACCAAAGATATGGGATGTGAAGTACCTATGCTGAGATCCCAGAGGGGCTGGAGTCCATGGTCTGGTTTTTCCAGGCATCCCTCACTGCCTAAGGTCGTAAAGACTCACCACATGGTCTGCGGCACCGGAATTCAAAGCTCTTAGTCCAGAAGCAGCTGTGCCTTGAGATGTTTGCTCATGACCTTTTCTCTTACCACACCCTGGGGCTCCTGGGAGGAGCCAAGAGCTGAGCTGTAGTGCCAGGATGCTGCCTCTGTCAGTGCCCATGTTAAACTGCATCGTGGTTCCTTTCACATCCTTCTTGCTCAACTACGGAGTACACAGGATGGAAACTGCTCTCTGCCTTTGGGAGACAGCGCATGGTTCGGCTTAGTAAAGCTGTAATTGGAGAACAAAGCAGAAGGCTCTTTCTCAGGCTCCCAGTGGCCAGCCTGCAGGAGAAAGAACTTCCATGCCCTCCAAGCCCAGAGCGATGGAAGGACAAGGGGTAGGCCGAACCCTCAGGCTGCTCCGAAATCGCTTGCCACGACTTCGAGCAGGTCAGGACTGGATTGCCTACTTCCTTTTTGGGGGTGATCCTCTTATGGGCTGTTTCCTCCTGGAGTGCTCCTCCTTCTTTTTCCTTTGCGTGCCAAAATCCACATGGCCCCCATGTGATCGGGATCGGACCGAGAGGATTACCTTATCAGTTTGCAGAGCTCCTGTGTAGCTCTTGGTATGGCCATAAGAAAATGCCCTAGGGGCTCATCTGATTATTTAGAACAGAGCTGCTATGGTAGGCAGAAGTACAGTTTCAGTCATCAGGCCTCCACGAACCTACACAACATGGCTCCTCAGTTTCTACAGCAGTGTTTTCTTTGCCTCCCAGTGTCACTCCACAGTTTCAGGTTTTCCAGGACAGGTGTGGAAACTGCCCACTTGGCTGTGGTCCCACCCAGTGACTGGTGGTGCCTGGTCAGGCATGGGTATCAGCACTGGCAACGTGGCCTTGAGGCATGCAGGTTGCCCAGGTTCTCACACACCGTACAGAATGGAGGGATGGAATACTCAGGGCGCCCCTGCATTTCCGTTTTAGGACCTTCTCAGAACAATACTGGGGAAGCTGCCACAGAACCCGAGAGGACCCAGGAACATTCCCTGTCTAACTTTGCTGGAGGCCAGCACTTCTTTGAATACCTTCTTGTTGTTTCTTTAAAGAAAAAGCGTTCAGGGGATGACTATGAACCCACGATCACCTACCAGTTTCCCAAGGTAAGGACGGAGGAGAGGTGGGGCCTGAGGGCAGAGGTGGGGAAACAGAGGGTATTTAAAAGGTGGTAAAGTTCTGCTCCCTACCACCCTGCCAGCTCTGGAGCTCTGAGCTCACTGCTCTCATTTCCTTTGTGGCCCAGCCCTAGCTTTCTGGTATCACCCCAAGAATCTAGGTCTGATTGCAGTGACTGACTGACTAAACTTCTGGAGCAGGGAAATGAGCCCCGTGCTCTCATCCTCTGGGAACCGCCTCGTTTTTCCAAATTCCACCTCAGTCACCTTTTCCGACAGAAAAGCTCGGCTTCAGCTGGAATGCCTAGGGAGGCATGCCCTTCCTGCTGTGTGGTGGAGAATCAAGCAGACCCAAGATGCAAACACAGGCTAAGATTAGACTCCCAGAGCGATAGAGCCCCCCTTGTGTGGTGGTGCACTGGGTGAGGGCAGTGCAGCATTCTCTTCGACCCCTCTAGTTAGCAACTCTGGAGAGGTTGTTTCTTTTCTTTGACATGATATCTCTCTGATGTCATCCTCTCAGGGTTCAGATGACCTGTCTAACCTTCTTTTTGAATATGTAAAAATCCTCAGGATAGTGAATTCTAATTCCAGGTTATATTGATGTGGCCTAGAACAAATTCTCTCTTAGGGGTCATTCCAGCTAGAACTAGTATGCAGACTATGTCAAAGGCACCTTTGTAATCCAGACTAACAGGAAAGAAGGCTAATAGCCTTCTGACCCCTGCCTCTCTGCCTAAATTTCCTTGCCTTTTCCTTACAGAGGGAGAACCTGCTCCGGGGTCAACAGGAGGAGGAAGAACGGCTCCTCAAAGCCATTCCTTTATTCTGCTTCCCTGATGGGAATGAGTGGGCACCTCTCACAGACTATCCCAGGTAACCACTCAACCTGGGGACAAGGGTATCAGATATGGATGGGAGGTCAAATGTGTGGCCCTTGTGCTCCCCTCACTGGGAGTGTGCTGAGTTTTTACCACGGAATTTTTTTTTTTTTTTGAGACAGGGTTTCTCTGTGGCTTTGGAGCCTGTCCTGGTACTAGCTCTGTAGACCAGGCTGGTCTCGAACTCACAGAGATCCGCCTGCCTCTGCCTCCTGAGTGCTGGGATTAAAGGCGTGCGCCACCATCGCCTGGCATTACCACGGAAATTTTTGCCTAGGGTCCTTTAGGCCAAAGATCTTAGCTGTGACTTGACCTCTATCCAAAGATGCTTGAGAGCCTCTAACCTGTCCTTCAAGAAACAGTCACTCTTTTTTTTTTTTTTTACTCTGCCACTGGCAGAAGGTAGACAAGAACAAGAAAGAAAGTCTTTAGACTCTAACAAGACAATATCAAGAAGATTCTTACATCATGAACACTGGAAGTCCAAGGTGACTTCAGATTTTAGATAAGAAATACCTTCTCTTGAGTCTTGCTTACTTTGTCTTTAAAGTGGTAATACTAATCGAACCTCCTTCAGAAAGGTTATTTGAGTCTCAAATGAGGTGATGCATTTGGGCTTGGCACCACTGCGTGCTTAATAAAGTGACTGAGGTGATAACCCTCATGATTAATCAGCAACGCCCCTTGGTCTTCCTCTTCACTTCTCTGATGCTGACTTGAATCTTGCTTTAGAAATCGCATGAGCAAATGTACAACATTGGTTTGCTCTCTCTTAGGGAGACCTTCTCATTTGTCCTGACCAACGTGGATGGAAGCCGGAAGATTGGATACTGCAGGCGCCTCCTGGTCGGTGCTATTCAGAACCTCAGAACCGCTCCTTCCTCTCTGCAGACTGTTTAGCTCCACAGCAGGGCTTGCCAAAGCCTCAGCTACAAAGGCTCAGGCGCAGTGGCAGTGGTGGTTCTAGGGAGAGTACATCTCCGCACATGCTGCCATGTTAGTAACCCCACAAGAACAAGGACACACTGTCCCTCCCCTCCCCTGCCACTAGGCTACGGTCTGGGCTCTCCTGGCTCAGTGAGACGCTCCAGCAGAACCCTCTTATAGTCTTTTCTATGCGGGCCTGCTTGCCTTGTTCCCTGGAGCCTCACTGACAGTCTGAGATTTGAACAAGGTTTAATTCTTGGCTTTCAGAGCAAGGATTCGCTAGACAACTTTCCAATGCTTTCCTCTCTAGACATTTCCTCATGGCTAAGACACACTAGTTTTTGTTCTCACTGACCTTCAGTTCATGTTAGTCATGAGTCAGTAGTGTTTACCTTTGGGTTTCTGGCCCCCAAAGGCTGCCACTCACACCTCCTTCCTCCTTTTCTTCCTTCTCTTCTCTTATTAGCATATAGCCATTGTATATAAAAGAACAGACATCATGGTATTTTCTTACGTATAATACATGTACTTGAACTATACATATTTGCTACTCCCATCACACCAGTTCCCTTGCTCTTCCCAAATAACCACATTTCTAATTTTATGATCTTCATCCTTTTTCTTTATTTTTATTTAAGTGTATGAGTGTTTGACTGGATGCATACAAGAGCACTGTGTGCTTGCCTGCCGCTCATGGAGGACTGAAGAGGGAACTAGGTCCTCTGGAGTTACAAATGGTTGTAAGCTACCATGTAGCTGGGAACCAAACCTAGGTCATCTGCAAGAGCACCAAATGCTCTTAATCATGGATCTGTCTCTTTGGCTCTCCTGTCTCTCTTTTTAAAAAAATTATATATATATATATAAACACACACATAACACATATGTGTGTGCATATGTGTATGCCTATGTGGGATGTGTGCATATGTACATGTCTGTGTGTGAGGTATGCACAAATGTGTATGGGTGTCTTATGAGGCCAGAAGATGAAGGGGCATCCCCTGAGCTGGAGTCAAAGGTGTCTGTGAGACATCTGCTATCAGTGCTGGGCATTGAATTTGGAGTCAGTGTTGGGTATTGATTTTGGATCTTCTGGAAGAATACTGTGTTCTCTTAACCACTGAGGTATATCTGTAGCTCCTCATGTCTTTTATTTATGTCTTATTTTTCTAAAACCCAAATCTTGCATATGAAAAAAAATGTATTTGTCTTTCTGTGCCTGGTTTCTTTTGCTTTAGAGAACAATTGCCAGCTACATCCATTTTCCTCAAAAAGTGATAATTTTGTTTTTCTTATTATATGACTAATACTCCACGTTGTTTATACAACACATTATTGTTACCTTTTCATTTGTTGAGAGGCACTTAGGCTGGTTGCATAATGTGGCTTTGTAAATAGCAATCATCATCTTTTGACTTTGGTGACTATTTTGACCCTGGGTCTGTTCCATGGAAAGAACCTCTGCACAGGCCCTTCTCCATCTAACCACTGATCCCCATCCACAGCACTCCACCGTTTGCCCCATCAGTCTCATGTGGGGGAAACCCTTGTGGAAACTGTAGCCCTGAAGGAAACTCTTGTTCCCCCCACACCCCAGCCTGCAGGTCCTGGCCCTCGCCTTCCCAAAGTTTACTGCATCATCAGTTGCATCGGCTGCTTTGGCCTGTTCTCCAAGGTAAGGTTAGGACAAGATTCCTTGGAGCCTGTTAGGCAGGCCGGTTCGGCTTCCTGGCTCTGCCTGGCTGCTTGCCTTGCAACTTGAGCCCTTAGTAGAATGTCTTCCTGATAGCCCAGCCGGTATCAAGAATATTGGGTAAAACTGAGACAGGAGGGACCGAAGCTTAACCCTATTTAAAGGAAATCTAGAAGACGGTTTCCCCTGCAGAGAGAACTGTTGTCTGTTCTTCTGTCTTCCTGGTTGGTATGAGGCTCAGATGAGGTATAACATGAGAAAATTCTTCAAAAAAAAAAAAAAAAAAAGGAGGGTACCACGAAAGTCTAAAGGCAAAAACACAGTGAGGATCCCAAGATTTACCCTGACTTTGATGAAGCTGGAAGAGAAATTAAGGACTTGTGTTGCTGGGGACAGAATCAAGGCAGAATTGATTCTGTCTATGGACTGTCTTGGTAGCCAGAAGGACTCTGGCTGTGGGAGAGGAACTCAATGGTATT